AATCGATTGGCCCCGTTGAGCATTCTAGCCGTCTTAAACAAACGCACTTAGACCCATCAGCCCTCATACATCCGGCTAGAATAAATAGCGTGCTATAAAAGAAATCCAGAATTTTGGTCTGCACTGCTAGACGACTTAAAAATTGTCTCTGGTGAGATGCTCAATTCTGACCAGACCAGTCGTATAAAAGCCGAGAACCTAACGCGGACTCTAAATCGGTACGGAATCAGGTTGAAATCGCAACAGCCAAAACAAAAGCCAATTAATCATCGCAAAAGCCTCAATCCGAGATTAAACCTAGATCTTACCCAAACCCAGCACACTGGTCTCTAACATCTCAAGGCATGATATGAGATCCTAAAGGCATGTCTCTTCGTTCATATCTAAACACTCACAAAATTTCAAACTTTGCGGAACGAGCAAACGAACAGGATGATCTACGAAAAGAGTTAGATACGAGATGACAACTCGTACTCTTCCCTCTACGCTTAAAAAGATAAACACAATCACAATTGTTCATTTAAAAATAATTCGAATAAAGCCGAACAACGGCAGGGATTCAAAGCCACTAACGGCCAGTCCTGATAAAAAAAAAAAAAAGCCAAACAGGCCCCTATACAATCAAACCTAAACAGTCACGCTGGCTATAAATACAAGGGAACACTCCCCACTAAATACTAACATTTCCAGACAGCGACACTCCAAATGCGCTCGCCAGGAAGTTCACCTCCTCATCCTCCCTAAGAACCTCGGTCGAAACCTCCTCCGTATCAGGAAAAACCGGGATGGGATCCCAGAACCCCCGAAGCCTCCCCTCGATCAGGGAGATTAATGCCTCAGCGTGGGCATAGTCTTTCATACCGCCCTTCGTTGTTGCCATCTCTTCCTTGAAATTAAAGTCGCTCAGCTGTGTCTTCCACAAGGTACCAACCGAACTGCGGCACTCGCGGAAATCGCCCATCAAGGATTATGCCTCGCTAAGATGACCTAGCTCAGCCTCGGACTCAGATGCTCGCTGGCAAGCTTAGACTCTCGCTCCAAGGCCTCGTTCTGCATACGAGCAAGATCCTTTTCCGCTTTCTTTGCTTTGAAGCGGTAGGCCATCGCCTCCCTGTTGCTCGCCTCTAGGTCCGAGCTAAGCACGTTCGGTCCCTGCAAAGACGATCAAAACATCAAAACGCTTCGTAACATCTTCAAACAAATTTCTTTTCAAAACATACGAATTACACTGATCCCATTAATCATACGGGATCCCTCCGCAACTACTTCAAGCCTCTTTCATTCTTCGGCAGGCGGAGGTGGGTCAATATCTGCAGGAAAGTCAGAAAAAAACCAATCAAAGTCAGGCAGAGGCAAATCACTCGAACCACTGCCGTCATCGAAAGCAAGGTTTGGATCCTATCTAGGAACTACGGAGTCATCCACGGAAAATTCTATACCGGCGAAGTCGACTCCTTTGCCTCTGAGCGATTCAGCCTCCTTTCCCCTCGAAGGGACATGACGGGGGGTAGGATCATCCGAGTCCGAGTTAACATCCTCCGCCACCCGGGAGCCGGAAAGGAAACGAGCCAATGACCTAGAAACCCTCCTTGGCGTAAAAGAGGACCAGAAAAACGGTCCATTCTTTAGAAGGTCCTTCGCCGCCACCAGATCGGCAAGAAACAGAGTGAGGGGATTGATGCACGGATCAGGGTTTGACCTGCTCCTAAGCAACGCGACAACACCTTCATCAATCGAATCAGTGTATATACAAACAAAAAAGAAGAATTTCCTCCATGGACCGCAGTTCGAAATAGGATCCCTGATCACCAACATGTACTTCTGAGGGGTCAACCGGTAGGTATACGGCTCCGAGACATATTGTATCCTAAGGAGGGCCTCGAAGTGATCAACAGTGAGAGAAAACCATGTTCATAGCTCAGCACTAAGAGGCAATAAGGTGCTGAAGACCGGTGGCGTTTAACTGGCCCAACGCTACCTCGACGCGATCCAATACCCGGATTATGATCTCTAGAATCGGGAACCATAGACGGCAGCGTACCAAGAATGCCTCATAACACACAAAGTATCCCTCCGGGGGATTATCAGCGCTCTCCCCTCGGCGAGGAATTCAGAATTCCACGCCGTCCAAAATCCCACAAAACTCACGGATCGTCTTGAGAAATGAATGGGAACTTCTACTTGGAGCACCCGTTTCTACGCCATGATGGCTCAGAGCGAGGAAGGGGAATTGGGAGGCGGACTAATCGTGCCACACCTGGCAGTCCAGTACGCTTCGGCCTCATCTTGATTGACTAGACGATGCATTAACTCGGCTTTCGGAACAAGGATCTCCTCCTCGCAAGTACCTCTGAATGAGGAACCACAAGCAGCAGTCTACATCGAAGACCTCTTCCTGGAAGACATTTTCCAAACTTTTTTTTTCTTCAAAAGAAGAGGGAATCTCTTTTTAACTTCTATCTCACTAGAAATTTTCTCCTAAGGCAATGAGAAAGGGGTAAAGATGAAGGCTTACTCCATCTATTTATAGGCATAAGAAGTTACTTTTTGTCTATCGATTTTCAGATATTTAACTTCATCCAAACTCACCAATATTGCCCAGCTTGTCCAAAACGCATGCTAGAATCTCCTCTACAGTCTACGATTCTAACGGGCTAGCTGGGGGTGATAACTGTTGGGGTCAAAAACGGTCACGACAAAGTTAACATCCAAACATCGGATAAGAACACAAAAACGGACAAACCAATTCGTTACGTAGCAACCCAACCCGAACAAGGACCGAATCACTACGTAACGACCGAACTCGAGCCACGCTCGATCCCTACATAGCGACCAAGCATGCACATGATCGGTCGCTACATAGCAACCGAGCTCAAGCAAAGCTCGGTCGCTACGTAGTGACCGAGCTCAAGCCAAGCTCGGTCCCTACGTAGCGACCGAACATGTATATGTTCGATCGCTAGGTAACGACCGAGCATGTATATGTTCGATCACTACGTAGCGACCGAGCTCGAGCTAAGCTCGGTCGCTACGTAGCGACCGGACTATCTGGAATATCACCCGAGTCTTTACGCTCTCGTTTACTCTTTGATGCAATCTCCCGAAGGTCACATTAAAACTGCCACTATTTCCTTATCGATCGGAGTTATCGTTCAGATTTTACGATAAAAAAAAGACTTCATTTACATCTCGTAAAACTAAATAAAAATAAATTCAGAACTGAAGTGGAATAGGGCATAATCCTAGTAAAACTACAAGTTCTCACCAATCAAAACCTATGCTCGATCCCAATCAAGTCCAAAACATGTCACATCTCTTTAACTCGTCAATGAAAATCTGTGACTAGGTTTTAATACTCTAGCAGAGTAGAAGATGGACATGGCTGCGAAGAAGATTGGTATCCATATATAAATCAACCGTATGTCTACCCTTAAATGTTTGAAAAACTAATTCACACCAAGAAATATCAATTCATTTATGTCCCATCTCTTAAAATCACCAATGAAAATCTATGGCCTAATCTCTCTGATTGCAAGTACTAGGATTATGTAGAGACTAATAAGCCATGGATATTAATTTCTAAATAGTGTGTAAGAAGATAAACTTTTACATGGAAGTTTCATGGGATTATATATAAGAGACTTGGACTAGATTTAGAACTATTGCCCAATTGTTCTAGATTGGTCCAGGTCTCTATTATATTAATTAGGTCTCCTTGAAACTATTGATGTAAAAATTTATATATATTCTTACACACAGCTCTTTAGAGATTAACGTACATGATCCATTAATCTCTACATAATTCTAATAGCAGACAAATCAGTATCATTACTCGCATGCAAAACTGAGTCACATAGTCTAATAGATAATGAAGTTGAAGATCTTAAGTGTTTTTGGTTGAACTATTCGATCTATCATGAACCAGAGCAAGAACTTATTAGTAGAATCCGAGCCCGAGATAAACAATTGAACTGAGGTTTATGCTATGTAAAGATTCTACTGACTATCCAGAAGGAGCATGAGCGGCTCTTGCCATATGAAATTAAGTGTATTTGTACATGGTCCAAAAAATTTACATTTTTTTCTCAGAGTTTTAAGCATTTCAAAAAAATATTAAGGCCTTTTCTTCAAATCTCTTTTAGTTGCTCTTGAAGAAGTTGGACTTGCATAAAGCCTTAAATCATTGAGCAGTGGGCCAGAGAAGGAGGCTACGAATACAATAACCAAAATACATGAACTGCTTAAGAATCTTGTTCTTATGTTTTTTGTTTTACAGCAAAGTCATGACTGGTCCTTAGCATGGTGAGATTTTGGAAAATATAGTTAACAAAAAACAGCGGTTACAGTTATTAGATTGTTACAAAACAAAAAAGTTAAAAGGACTTGACCTTTTGTTTTCTTGCACTTCAATGAAGCAATTACAGTTACGGATCAACAAAGATATAAATAACCCACCATGAATCCTAAATTCAGAAGTAGCTACTCAATGAGTTCAGATCAACTGGGACTACACTAAACATATCTTGGTTAAAACTTATAACAAGCAATAGTGTAGTGATTTGCATAGTATATCAGACCTATGTCTCTCCATTACAAACCTGTGAAGTCTTAATCCCATTCGTAACTTAAGCGAAGATCCAACCACTTTATCTCGAGATTTAGATCCTAAACCCAATGAAACTTATCTTCTTTTCACTCCCAATGGCTGTTTTATATAACATCAAATAGTGAGTATATGATTGACAAGGCTCTCAGAAGTCATGACTAATGGCTCAATGAGAAGGTGAGATATATACATTACTCATATCATCAAAGAAGGGTCTTTTTACTCATTCAGGAGATATTTACCACAAGGATAAACCCTAATGATTTCATTAAAAGCATTAAAATATCAAACTATATGAGAACCAAAACAAGAAAAGTCAAAGATTCTATACAAGGATTTGAGAAAACTTGACACTCTTTACAAAAGGCTTCATCTTCTTTTTACCTCATGGAGATCATCCGATACTTAGGAACTTGTGCTTGTAGAATTCATCAAATGAGAGACGCGTAACTGCAGAATAATACGGTAAACAGAGAACTGAATATACAACGATATTTGAACATGTTAAAACCAAAAATGGATGAGAATTTTTATGTACCTGGGTTAGTAGAGAGCAGCCTTGAACATACATCAATGCAATCTGGATGCAACTGCTGAACAATCGACCGAGAGAAAGGAAGAGATAAACTAGACTTTATGTTTCTTAAAACCTATGGTCAATGGAAAAAAAAGGGGTTTCAACTCAATGGCATGGAAGCTTTTGGATCAAAAGAATCCTAAACCAAATCAAGATCGTACCTGAACATTGTTCTTACCACTGAAAGGTGGATAACCATGAAGAAGCTCAAAAAGGATTGCTCCTACACTCCACATGTCAGCCTACAATGTTTCCTATGAGCCTCTATTGCTTACCATCTCGAAGAGGCATAGATGGAGCATAATCTCACCTTTTTATTGTATCTCTGAAACTGAAGAACTTCAGGAGCCATATAAAACGGAGAACCACAAACTGTCTCTAGATACTTTCCTGGAAGCAGTTTTCTGATCTCAACAGGAACATAAAAAAAGGATCTTTTATCACAAATAACAACACCTCAAATGCTATAACATAAACATTGTTCTCTAAAACTACCTTGAAAGACTAAAATCAGCTATCTTCAACACGGATTCATCCCCTGATCCAGCTAGTAAAATATTCTGTTCCAATCAAAATACTATGTCACAGTTCATATACTCTATTCTCAAAGTCCTAGTCAGGATAAGCCAAATGAAACATTCCCTCGGCTCCCAAAATCTTAGTGGCTAATATGTATAGAACATTTTCTCTCAAAATTGATTAAAAAAAATATATGCATTAATCTATAACAGTTTCAAGGCCCATATGTATAGATCCGAATGCAACAGTACCTCTGGTTTAAGATCCCTATGGATAATGTGATTATCATTAATGATTTCTAAACCAGCTCCTGCATTAAACACTAATCCATAAGAATCAAACTATTTAGTGTAAAATTATTACAAACAACAGATACCAAGTTGCTTCATGAATCTTCTGGCGATATGTTCTTCAACTCTCCCGTGACGCTTAATGTAAGATGATAAAGTTCCCCCATCGCAATACTCCATAATCATGATGAGTAAATCCTTATCCTGGAGAACCTGGAGGAGACGGATGATGTTGGGATGATCGACTGAAGATAGAAAATCGAGCTCGTTGTGTAAACAGCTTATGAGATTGTGATTGAGCTTCGAGAGATCGAAACACTTCATCACCGCTTCTTCTCCGGTTAAGATGTGCTTAGCTAGCCAGACGGTGGAGGTTGAACTCTCGCTCAGCTTCGATTTGGCTTTGTATTCCTCCATCGTCACGATAGGCTTCCACAGATTAGTATCTTCATCCAGCAGCAAAGATAAATCATACTGTATATCGTCGTCATCTTCTATGGATAATGGTGGCGTTACGACGTCGTGTTATGTATAAGATAAAATGTATACTATTATTTGCTAACTGATTTTTCGCAACGGAGCTCTTGAATTAAAAGTTTAAGTGGTTAATATCTATAGTACTCTTAATGAATAAAATATATAAATCAGCTAAAAATAAAAACGAATTTAATATTTATTTGATAAACAAATTTATCTAAAATCAAGAAGAACATGACAATTAAGCAAATTTACTTCTTAAATAATAATAGTATAGATTAGAGAAATAATTTAAATTAATAACAATGATAATAATTATCCATAATCTAAATATATATTTAAAAATAAGATAAAAAGATAATTCTTATATATATTGTGTTGTTATCCGAAAAATATATTTTTGAGAAAAAAAATTCAAAAGCAGATAACACATAAATAAATATTCATAAAGTACAATTTTTAATTGTATATAATTCAAAAGAGAAATTGAAAAAAATAGAATACGTAATTAATTTCAAATTAAAATAATATAATAATATAATATAATATAATGATATATATTCGTGAAGTTATTTTTCGCCTCAGAACTCACATGTTAAATTAAAATTATGTTTATATTTTATATAGTTAAAATTTAAACATGAATTAATCATATAAAATAAAAGATCATTCAAAAAGAAAGAAAATGCTTGTTTGACAAAAATAAATTCAAATATATTGTATTATTATCCAAACTAATTTTATTCTTTCTGTCAGATCAATTTTTGAATGTATATTTATCGATTCAATTTTTCAAATTGAAAGATAGATTTCTATTTTTTTATCAAACGAAGAAATGAAATAGACTTTAGATTTTTCAAAATTTTAAAGGAAAACATAGATTTTTTTTTAATTTGGGAATATCTTTATCAATGTAAAAAAGTTTAATGTTTAAGGTCGAATTATTTGGATACAAATAATCATTTATTTTGATAATTTTTTTAATTAATTTAAATATAATTAAGCCCTTATATGCGGGCAAAACATCTAGTTTTACTGTAACAAAAAAAAAAAAAAATAACAATCTAACCGAAACGGTTCAGAACACAGAACCTTACCTAAACCGGAAAGTTGATTAGGAAAGTTCGGATAAAGTTATCGGGCCTAGTAACAATGGAAGAAAAAACACTCACACGTGTTGAATGTAGAGAAAATGAGAATTGGTTGTTTTTATTGTTACTAGAGGTTTTCAGGCGCTGTTCATATTCTATATATTTAATGAATTGAAAACTAATTGTATGATCTTACAAAATATATAATATATTCTCATATATATGAAGATATATTAATTTTTTCACTCTTTTTAAAATTATTCTGACATAAAATTAAAAATATGTATCTGAACGACAGCACTTTTTATATTAAGAGTACTTTGTATTGATATTTGTTGCTTTTAAACTAATTTGAAATAACTGGATATAATTTTCCTACATTGAAGTCGTATACTGGCTAGACACATCTCTTTTAATTTCTATCGATCCTTTCAAATTTAAAAGTGGATTGTTTTTTTTTTTGAACAAAAGGTAGATTTGTTTCGATGTAATGAATCTATAATGTAATAAAGACCAAGTAATTATTGTTAACATAATCATATACTTAAGTGATCTAAAATACTCCATAATCAGCGATAGTACACCATAGAATCGAGATAAAATATGATCAATGCTATTTTATCATTTTCGCAGAATATAGTTTATACAAAATGTACATAAATGATTTAATATATATATATATATATATATACTCTAATATCAGCAATAGAGAACCTTAGTCGAGACTAAAACATATTTTGTTTATACTATTTGGCAAAACATGCTTTTAAAAGAGTGTTTTTAACCTTATATACGTGCACATTAACTTATTTTGTATATCTGCCAAGTGAAACACTTGTACTCAAATTTATGAGTTATTTAATTATTTCATATTTAAAATTTGAAATATACTATTTATGTGTTAGTGGTACTAATATTTTATTTGATTTACATTGTTTTCGTTTTACATTTATCATTTTATTATATTTATGTCATGTAGAATATTTTAGTTTTATGTTCTGGAAGTTATTCTATAGAAATAATGATCGTCTTATACTGAAGTTGTATACGTTTCATTATAAATTTTGGATCTTTTATCATACAACCCAAGGGCGAAAGACAGACCTTCTGTCCATACGAATATATGATGTAATCATAAATATTTTTAAAGATGTGTATATTATAAGTATGTAAGGGACACTTATAACCAGTTCTTTGGTTTGATTCTGGTTTCGAAGCAAGAGAAATATTGGTGAAAAGAAAAGACATAAAAAATACAACCCAAGGGTGGAAGACAGACTTTCTTTCCCATTGTACCAAAATCTTTATTTTTCTCTTAGTTTATGTTTAAAGAATGGTTAGAGATAGGTTTAGTCTGATTAATTTTTTAAAGATACAGTGGGAAAGATTATCATTACAAAATAACATGATAAGTAATGGGAATGGAATCAAGGAATATCTGTCAGCATCCTTTTAACTTGATACTATTGATTTCAAAGATTGTATAAAGATTAACTCTCTTTATTAATGCTTAAGAAACTTACTCAAATCAATCTCTAAAACCCCTTATGTTATGCCACACTTTGGCATCTCCATATATAGAGATTATAAAGTCCTAAAACACAATAGATAAGGATACTTAGATAACTCCTAAAACATCAAGGACTATCCTAATTCCTAATCCATATCTCGGTAGGAATATTTGGCTTTATCTCTTCTCTTATTTCAAGCTTATCACAACATTCTCCCCCTTAAGCTTGAAATCCCTTTTGGTCAAGTCTTGAATTCCAATGAGACTGTGCATTTCTGTAAATTTGATACGTCCCAAGGCTTTGGTCAAAATGTCTGATTTTTGCCTATCTCCTGAAACGTGCACCACACTCACTTGACCCTTCTCCACACACTCTCTTATGAAGTGATATCTTGAGTGTATATGCTTGCTTCTCCCATGAAAAACATGATTCCTGGAGAGTGCTATGGCTGACTGATTATCGATCTATATGGTAACCTTCTTGCATGGTTTCTCTGTAACTTCACTCAACAACTCTTGCAACCATATTGCTTGCTTAGCTGCCTCTGTTCCTGCCATAAACTCAGCCTCACACGAAGACAAAGCTACAGTCTCTTGCTTCTGGGAGCACCATGTTATCAAATTCTCTCCTAAGTAAAAGATGTGGCCTGTGGTGCTCTTCCCATCATCTGGATCGACATTGTGATTACTGTTACTGTATCCCACCAACCTCGGAATGTCTGGAGTTGATCGTACGAACACGAGTCCATACGAAGTTGATCCTTGTAGGTAACTCAAGCAATGCTTCATCGCTAAACCATGTGATTCTTTTAGTTGATGCATATAGCGACTAAGAACACCAACTACAAAAGAAAGATCCGGCCTTGTATGGAGAAGATACCTGAGACACCCAACATTTCTTATGAATGCTGTAGCATCAATGTCTTTTTCATCTTCAGCTTTTGTTAGTTTCATTCCTGGTTCCATTGGTATGTGAGATGAGTTGCAGTTTTTCATGCCGCTTTCTTCGAGTATTCTCAGGGCATAACGTCTTTGGGTCAAAGTTATTCCTCCCTCATATTGACTGACTTCAATGCCAAGGTAATATGACAACTTGCCAAGATCACTCATGTCAAACTTTGAAGCCATCTCTCTCTTGAACTCGTCAATAATTTGCGTATTAGCACCTGTGACGAACAAGTCGTCTACGTACACTGCAACCACCAAGAGGTCATTGTTTACCATCTTCCTGTAAACCGTCGGTTCCTTGGAACATTTTATGAATCTCAAATAATGTAGAATTCGATTCAATTTGTTGTTCCAAGCTCTTGGTGCCTGTCGTAATCCGTACAACACCTTATGGAGTTGGTATACCTTTCCTTCACTTCCCTTTACTTCGAAGCCTTCATGTTGCATTACAAACACTGTCTCACTGAGTTCTCCGTGTAGGAACGCAGTCTTAACGTCTAGATGATGGACCTCCCATCCGTTTGTAGCTGAGATACTAATTAGCAATCGTATGGTGTCTAGCCGAGCAACAGGTGCAAAAACCTCTTCAAAATCGATTCCATGTTGTTGCACATAACCCTTAGCCACTAGCCGTGCCTTGTACTTATTGATGGAGCCGTCTGAGTTTCTCTTAATTTTAAAGATCCATCTCAGACCTGTTGGTTTCACACCGCTTGGAAGCTCAACTAGACTCCACACTTCATTCTTGACTATAGAATTCATCTCTTCTTCACATGCTACCATCCATTCCGTACTTTCACTTGCTTCTCTAAACGTTCTTGGCTCACCATTCAAACACAAGAGCACATAGTCCTCAAGATATTTAGGTTTCATACTCTGTCTCTGACTTCTTCTGAGTTCGATGCAGTCATCATCGTCTTCAGATTGTGAAGTTTCCTCTTCCACTGGTGAGTTTGCTGTTATCTCCTCACGTGCAACAGCCTCATTCTCGTCCTCTGTTTCATCCTCAGTGTTAATCTTCTCTGTCTCACGTAGATCTCTGTAACTCAGGTTCCCAAGTGAGACTAAGAATTCTTCATCTTTGTCTTGGTTAGGTTTCTTCCAGTTCCAACCTTTAGATTCATCGAACACCACATCCCTACTAATCACAATCTTTCTGCTTTCAGGGTCCAACATCCGATAGGCTTTTGAGCCTGGTTCAGTTCCCAAGTGGACCAGTACACGACATCTATCATCAAGCTTCTTTAGTTGTTTCTTCTCTGTTTTTGCGTATCCAATACATCCAAACGTTCGCAAGTGAGATAGATTTGGTTTCCTTCCTCGATACACTTCGTATGGTGTTCTGAGCTCAAGTGCTCGTGTGCTACCCTATTAATCAGGTATGTCGCATGTCTCACGGCTTCTCCCCAGAAGTGATTTGGCATGTGCATATGTTTCAAGAGGCTTCTTGCCATCTCCATCAGGGTTCTGTTCCTCCGTTCCACCACTCCATTCTATTGTGGAGTACATGGGGCTGTGAGATGTCTCTTTATACCTGATTCTTCACAGAAGCAAGTGAAACCTTGAGACATAAATTCTCCACCTCTGTCCGTTCTGAACGTAGCTATTTTTTCTCTTGTTTCTCCTTCTATGACATTCTTCAGTTTCTTGAATTTTAGGAAGGCCTCATTCTTCTCTTTGAGTAACATAGTCCACATATATCTGGAATGGTCGTTTATAATCACAAACACATACCGATTCCCTCCAAAGGTGCTCGGGATATGGGACCACACAAGTCTCCATGAATAAGTTCAAGATTCCTAGATGCTCGATATGTGGTTTCCTGAGGGAATACATGTCTTGTTTGTTTGCCAAGTAAGCAAGACGAACACACTTCTTTCGTGATTTGAACTCTTGGGATACCTGTAACTAGTTCCTTTTGCACCATCGTCTTCAATGTGGAAAGATTGATGTGTCCCAACCTTGCATGCCATCGTGTAGATTCACCAAAAGATGTTAGGTGTAGTTGCTGCGTATTTTCTATAAGTCCCATTCTTACTTTATACAGTCGGTTCTTTGATCTATCTGCTTTAACCAAGAGTTTTCCCTCCTTATCATGCATAGTTAGGTAGTTTCCTCGAAGTTGTATCTCACAACCGGCCTCTGTAGCTTGCCCCAAACTGATAATATTACTCTTGAGATCTGGAATGTAGTACACATCCGTCATTTTACGAGGTTCACCTTTCATATCCACAAAAGATATGTTTCCTTTTCCTTTGATATCCACTCGAGAGTCGTCCCCAAATCTTACCTTCCCCGTGACTGAGTCATCAATGGCAGAGAAGTACCTCCTATCTCCTGTCATGTGATTGCTTGCCCCATTATCAAGATACCATATGTCTTCAATGTCCGTAGATGTTTCAAACTTGCTTAGCACGCAGTTTCTTTCATTCAAGTAGAGCACTTCATGTACCATTAGACCGCCTGCTTCATGTGTTTCACTATCATTATTTTCTTGAGTTTCCTGTAGTTTGAGCAAACGATCAGGACAATCACTTGTGTAATGTCCCAACTTATCACAACGGTAGCACATGTTACGTGATGTGTCTCTTGGTCCAAAGTTGCGTCCTCGACCTCGTCCTCTGGACCCAAATCTTCCTCCTCGGCCTTGATTTCGGGAGTCTTTGTAATTCTCGCGATTTCCCGCAGCTGTTTGTGATCTTGTCTCCGAACTTGAATACAACAATTTGCTTTGTTCTTCTTGCGGTTCTTCTTCATCAAGGATTGTCTCCTCGTATGCTTTAAGTCGACCTAAGATGTCTTCAAAGCTTGTGTTGTTAAGATCCAGTACCTGCTCAAGGGTTGCTACAATCTGAATGTAGTTTTTCCTTGGGAGGCACGATAGAAAATTTTTAACAAGTTTTGGTTCGTCTATGTAAACTCCTAGAGCTGCAGACTTTTCAGAGATCTCAGCTAACTTTCCACCAAACCCGTCAACTGTATATGTATCCTTCATCTTCAAGCGTTCAAAGTCACGCATTAGGGTTTGTAATCGAGCTTCTCTTACCCTGTCTGCTCCAACGTACCTTGCTTTTATTGCATCCCAGACTTTCTTGGCAGAATCAAGTTCACCAACCTGCAACACAAGTGTCTCTGGTATTGATTGCACCAACAACGCCGTAGCATGAGCATTCTTCTCTCCCACGCTTGTGTCTTCTTCACTAGCTTCCCACGCCTTGTGAAATTTGAGTGCGATCTTCATTCTTATGGCCCATACTGTGTAATTCGTTTCTTTTAACATGGGACACTTGATTGAAGATGTTCCTCCTCCATCTTTAGGTTTCACGTCCGTAGTAACTATCTCTCCACTCATCTTTTCTTTCTTAGGCTCTGATACCAAATATTGATTTCAAAGATTGTATAAAGACTAGCTCTCTTTATTAATGCTTAAGAAACTTACTCAAAACTTAAGCTCAATCTCTAAAACCCCTTATGTTATGCCACACTTTGGCATCTCCATATATAGAGATTATAAAGTCCTAAAACACAATAGATAAGGATGCTTAGATAACTCCTAAAACATCAAGGACTATCCTAATTCCTAATCCATATCTCGGTAGGAATATTTGGCTTTATCTCTTCTCTTATTTCAAGCTTTTCACAACAGATACTTGTTAATAAGGTTTTTTTTTCTTAAATTGATGTCTCTTGGTTGGCTCTTCCAAAAAGACGACATCAGTTGCCTGGCTGGTCTGAATGAGATTTATTTGCATGGTTGAAATAAAGTACGTCCAGTTTATACTTGTTTATTACATGAGTTGATATTATACTGGTCTCTTTAGAAAAAATAATGCTCTCATATGATGCAGGATGGGTGATCCAAGAAATAAGAAGGTTCATCTCTCAGATTCATCACAGCGAAGACAATATCCTCTCTAGATCATCAGTTTAAGTAGACTTAGCTGCAAGAAGATTTGAACATCAAAAGGATGAATTATCCATTCGTGATAATCTTTCTAGATCAAAGTAAGTAATTTGAATTGATATGGTCAATGTACATACCTGGCCCTCTCGCTCTTTTTATTGACTGTAGTGTGAACATGCTTTTGTAAACCATTCAGCATTTTAAAGCTGAAGATAACTGTTGAGAAAGAAGAAACAGAGTTTTAGTTTGAAACCACCCATAATGATCTCCTTGAGGAATTTAACTTAACTATTTAAGAAAAGCCAACCTGAGATTCAACATCAATAATAATCTAATGGACCACCTATAGGAACAACAGAATATAAAGGAATGAGTTACATAGAAGAAGCTTGAAGAAAACTAACGAAAGGTGTGTGTGTGTGTGTGTATGTATCTTTTGACTGAAATTGCAGTAACTACCTGGTTAGTTAGATCTTCAATGTCTTCTTCAAATTCTTCGTTGTCCAGTGTTTCTTCACTTGCCTCAGACATCGTCTCTATCTATAAACACACAAAACACACAAAAAATTGACACGACAAATCTTTGCATTTACACCACGATTTCAGAGTAACATGCTGTTAGAAATGAATAGATATTTCGTTTATCATCATATCCATATGCGCTGGCTTATGGTAATCCATGATTCACTTTAGCAATTGAAATAGTTTTTATAACCTATTTGTAATCTGTCGCCTAGCACCTGCGAAGCAAATTAGAACACTGGTCTAAATTGATAATGATTAAGATGTTTATTTCATGTTCTTCAGGAAATGTGAAGAAGGGTGTCTTCGAGAATCCCTAGTCAAAGGAAAAATATTGGTTTGCAATTCCACGGATTCACTTGAAGCTCTTGCAAATAGACCTGTTGCAAGCATAACTATCAACCGTACACCAAACGTTGCCTTCGTCACTTCTTTGCCCCTCTCTGCTTTGTCACAAGAAGACTTAAACTCTCTTGTTTCTTACATTAAGTCCGAAAGGTAATATTACTTTCTCGCATATATATATTAAGCACAAAAACAAAAAATAATAAGTCTTACACAAATAATTCTTACCTATGTTTCCTTAGTTCGCCAGTGGCTACTGTTCTAAGAACTGAGGAAAGTTTTAGTCAGAAAGCTCCAGTCATTGCTGCATTCTCTTCTCGTGGTCCAAACACCATCGCAACTGATATTCTAAAGGTTTGTGGATACACAATCTTGGCTCTGCTTATTACTTTTTTTTATGGTCTGAGAGACAATGGTTAATGACTTGTAGCCGGATATATCAGCACCAGGAGTTGAGATCCTCGCTGCATTTTCACCTGAGATTTCTCCATCCTCAAGTGTATATGACACAAGACGTGTGAAAAATGTGAAAACAAACACAAAATTGGTCAAAAATAAGTGTGAGGACCCATCAAAGTAGTAAATGAAGCAAAGTGTGAAAGTACCTTTAATTTTTCACGCTTGAAGATATCTCTAACAGCCAGATTCTGCTTGATTATGCTGGTAATGCTCTCTCATTGAGTCTCTAGATACTCATTTACTGCTTTTTGACTTGTAAGAGAAGCCAATTGCGTTTCGTTGAGCTTCATGTTTCCCTATAGCACCATGTAATCGAACACTTAAGAATATGAGTGACAGTAAAAACAAAGTCAGATATAGAGATCATCAAGAGTCATTAGAAACGCTTGCCTGAATCTCTAGAAGCCTAGCTCCAAAAAATTGTTTTCCTTGTTCCACAAATAAAGATTGAGGAGTCTCTATTTCAACCATCTAAACGAAAAGAAAAAGCAAAAGACAATGTTTTCAATCACACATATCAACAACGTTATTGTTTCAAAAGCTTTATGGAATCAAAGCAATGACCTTTCGTATCTGTTCAAGGATGGCGTTGTCTGTTGCTTGCTTCTTGGCTTCCTCCTCCATCTCTTAACATCTTTTAGTCAGAGTTCGTCCACCTGTTCACTTGTTTGATTAGATAATTACAGTGAGAGAAGATATCTCTTTTTTTGTAAGACTTGTTGAAACTTAGGTCCATGTGTTCATTACCTCCTTCAGAGTGGTGCATCCAGGGAGGAACCTATCAGCAAGTGAATCATCTAACGTTGGTAAATCTCTGTAGAATAGTTCCTTATAATCAACCTGAAGAAAACAGAACAGGTTTAGCTTATCCAGGTACGATGGAGAAGAACTCACAGTGAACTGAGCCCGTTGGCCACAAATATTTTCTTGCTTCCATGATTCAGGAAACACAAGCGAGAATGACTTTGACTCGCCAGCTCGAATACGCAAGATTGAATCAAGGAATCTAGGTAGCAATCTATTCCCTTCTTCTGTGTCAAAATGAAAACCTGCACACATAATCACACTTCTCAGCATATAATCATTTGCAAAACAGGAAAGACAAACGACATGAGAGGTCTTACCGTTAGTTCCGCAAACCGCACCCCATCCGACTCTGTTTTCATGTGACTTTCTTCATCGTCTGGAGGCAGATTCCTTTCTGATGATACTCAATATACATATACTTTCGGAGATGACTTCCTTTCAACACCTTGCCGTTTGATTTCTTCGTAATAGGATCGCAGGAGTCAGCTCTGGCAGAGGAGACACCGGTTTTGGCGGAGGAGTCAGAGTGGATAACCGTCTTTCAGTTTGGTTTCTTCGACACAGGATTTCCGGAGACAGCGTTGGTGGAGGAGACACCGGTTTTGCCGGTATGTTTGGTCGATGGGGATTTTCCATCGAGTTTCATCGCAGATTCTCTGGATTTTGAGTGGGACCAAGAAGAAATAGTGAAGAGGTTTATAAGAAATAGATAGAGAGAGAGGTGAAACGGAGAAGATGAAGTGAGTCAAAATGATTGACGATTCAATTTGTGGGATTAGGGTGAGAGAAGTGATGAGTTTCTAGGTTTCTCACAACAAATGAAAACAAAGAGAATCTCGGACCGAGATAAAACCGTACTCGGTAATAAACCAAACCAGAGAAACCAATTGGTTATTTGATTTCTCAGACCCAAAGCGGAATGATGTGGCATTTTAACCCATTTGATTGGCTAAATATTTGTGGTGACGTGGACATGCTCATTTGGCTTCATTTGCCCATTTTATTTATAGTAGATTTAACAATACATATATATAGGTACACCAATTTAGGATTTAGAACCTTCTAAAACATGGATTTTTGAGCCTATGATGGATATTCATACAATTATTCATAACATTTTCTCTTAGATTTTCATTATATATAAAAAATATCTAAAGCACATATGATGTTGTCTCATTAAAAACTAGATTAAGGAAATCTAATAACGTGCATCTACTCCCCTTAATAAGAACATAACTTGAAATACCGTATAGGAAACAATCAAATACGATGAATTAACTCTTTAATCTTGGGTTTGATTGGTTCATTTCTCTTAACAAATTTAACACTCTTCGCTGAAACTTGAATATCTTGATGATCCTAGAAAAAATAACTTCAAATCATTTGAAACTCAAAACTAACATCCATGTATAACTTTAGACGCAAGGCTAACTCTGGTAGAATGGGAATACTAAGCGATAAATTTAAGATATGTGTCGAATTTAAGTATTCTAAGACAGTTTACACATGTCCTACGAAAACAACCATATCTCGAGTTCTGGTATATAGAATGACTTAATTCAAATTGGAGATGAAAGTAGACTCAAAGATATTTCTTTGGATACTAAAATTATATTTTAGTTTCATTTAGAAGGCCGCCTTTTATTGGCAAACTTTTGACCTTCGATTCTATCTCGCGAATGAAATGTCATACCTTGGTAAGTGATAACATTACTCTTTATGTATCTATCATTTGTGTTTTCTTTCTTGCCTCGTTAAAATTTTGACATGGAAAACTCAATGAGACAAAAAATCATGATAAGGAAAAAGAGTACAACCATACACATCACATATTCTCTCCCTAAAGGCATCATCTTCGGGGGATGTATTCTCATCATATATATCTTCCTTTTAAGAATTGCTATAAGCATATCGTTAGTGAATAAACTTGTTTGATTGTCTGATAATCTCTTAGACCATTGGACTTATTATCCATAACATTACTTTCACACAAAGATAATATCTTGGTCTATTTGGACTCCATGCCAAAATTTCATTTTATAAACAATCTTCTAAACCTTCATATTGTAAATATGAGTTATTCATTCTCTTCTTGTAAATCTACAAGTATGAATATTCTTTTTGTCATACGAAATTATATATTTCAATCATGAAAGAAATCACTAAATTTCCCAAATATCATTTAGATATGATACTCCATGAGAAATAATTATTTTCTTTATATGCTCAATATATTCACACAATATTGTTCTCGAGAACTAACTCTTAAAGATTTTAACAAACCAAATCATTATGGGATTTACTGCTTCATGTAGTTTACTCTCTTATTGATCTTTCACATAATTGTTATTTTCCAGTGACTTTCAATTCTCGCCAGACTAAAAAAAACTTTAGAGTTTGATGCTTCCACCATTTGATGATGTGTTTCTTATAACAATTGTAGGTCTTTGTGAGAACCCTTGTGTACCTATTCATTTGCATCTCACAGTTTTTTATCATCTCATTCATGCTTTCACATAAAGACCCATTTAAGTGCCACTGGTTACCTGTTAGGTGTAAGGACTACCGGTCCAAATACTCTTCTCTTTCCAAGAGATTTAATCTCGCATCTACTGCTTATTTCCATCTTGGCCAATCATTTCTTTGTGTAAACTATTCAATATATGGTTTGTGATCCTCATTCTTATCAACTACTATATTTCATGCATAAGTATTCACGACATCGATTTAATATTGATTCCATAATATTTTAGACATGAAATAGCTATTTGAGATTTCTTTATTCTCAGGTACTTGAATTTCTTTCTTGTGATGTTTTCTATCTCTTCTCGAGATCTTTATTAATATATTTTCTTTTCAGAGGATTAATATATTTGGAACTGATAAGTCTATCACGCTTCAGGCGATCTTTAGCGGTTTGATATTGTCCTTTTTGGACATCCATTTTAACTAGGGAATTTACAGCTGGTACTTATGACTTAATCACTTTCTATGGGTCAGTAAATGAGTCTGGCAACTCATATGCTAATCTTTGTAATAGAATTATCTCATACATTAATTTTGGACTTCTATTCACATTTTTTAGTCCGAGGATCAATGATAATTCATTTCAACTCATTCATTTTCTAGCTGTTTATTTTCTCCCCCTCATGTTAAATAGACTAACTTTGAGTCTGTAAATAAATGGAGATCATATCCAACATATCCATAACCTCCTTTGAGGTTCTATCTTTTAGTAGTGTGGTGGAGGAATTATAACATATCCAAATTTTTTAGATGGGGATCTTTGGTTTCTGACCCAAAAATAATTTGATGGGGAGAGTTCTTAATTACTCTTTGACATTATGCGAAGAAATGATGCTTCATCTTACGTATGAACATTAGCAACAAGATGTTCATTATGTATTCCCACATGCATACACTAATTATTAAAGGCTTGTGGATTCACCAGTATTACCAATTAGTCTCGCAAACATTAGGTTGCAGATCTATAACAAGGATACATATGAATTTCTTGTCGATGCATTAATTATAAACATATGGTGGATGATCACTCCACCAGTGGGTGATCAATCCCACAAACATCTCCTTATATAGATAGATTCCATAGCAGATCATTCGCAAGAATCTTCTTTTTGTTCAACGAATGTCCATATGATTATATTTTCGCATCATTACTAAACCGGGATAGCATTACCGGCTTGCCAAACATTGCATTTTTGGTAAACTTTTGGTTTACTATTATATTTATCTCCATCTTTTATTCATTGTGTAGTACAATACAACAGTGCCTTGGTAAAACTTCTGATTGAATGTGTCCAACATTTCCTTTTACTTATTATCTCAATTTTATTAGATTCTAACTCATTATGTTCTGCTTAGTAGGGATGTGGGATTCTCTATTTCTCTTCCTCGAGATAATGATCTCGAGGTTCATCTATCTCGATTTGAATTCTGTTTTAGAATCAACAATATATCCAACTTGGGTCATGTGTTATATCTTTCTTTTCAATCTTTTGAGACTTGAAAAAGTATAACACATAAATGGTTTCACGTTGTGTTTCCATGGGCAATCACATAGTTTCTTTTCTAGAGCTTTCAATAATTTTTGTACTACTACATATTGTAGTTACACTAGTTTTCTTTCATCTTTAGATGATATATCTCTTGTTTATGACTATTTTGATTTTTTTTTTTATTTTCAAGTGAGAATATGATTTATAAAAAAGAATTCTTATGTCTTGACATTGACTTTATTCATATCAACATTCATGTCTGCAACTATTTTATTTTCATTTAATTATTGTGTGTCACACTCTCTTCGGGGAATGACGTGACTTATAATCTTTCATCTTCAGCTCATAGTCTTTCTCAGTCTCAAGAAGACAAAATCTAGTTACAAATTTTGTGTGTCTGCTAGACAACATTATTTATGTGAAATATGTATTTCAAATATATATGTGTAACTAAAAAAAAAATTAAAATTAACACTTAGCATAACTAAAATTTTAGATGCAAACTATATAATGAACATTAGATAATCACATTCAGATTATCGTACTTTTCATTACATTGTTTTCCAAAAATATGGATCTTTTATAGTCAAGTGTTTGAATTTAAGACTTTCATAAAAATCATAGTAATATAATCTGTATAAATATCAAATAGTATATTATAATCTTAAACTATAATTACGAGTATCTTATTATGTACTAAAAATAAATAATTAATTATTTATGTAGTATCTTTTTCTATCATGCTATGTGATAAGGTTCTCAACCAATCAATTAATTTAGTGGAAAATATTCGTATCACATATACCAATTTATAAGTAAGCTATTTAATCTAATATTAGAATTGGACTTATATAGATATAAATCATAATTTATAAATGTACTTATCTCTGTAGATAAAAGTGCAGCGGCCTTTACTAAGATAGCTAGGTATTTTTATCGTAAGTTTGTGTACGTTGGTTGTTCTATTCCGGTCTGGTTACCCAGATCACCTCAAGTCATTTGAGTAATAGATCAACAGTTTGATGTCAAAAAACAAAAAAAAAGTGCAGCAGCCCTGGAGAGATCTTTCCGGTTGTTGTATGTTACTCTCCAAGTTGTATGCTCCATCTTTCTCGCTTGTTAACCTTAATTAATAAAAGATTTCACTCATAGACTATATTCCCATGGCTATTATGTAAATAATGTTTAAATCAATTCATAATGTATAGGTATAATAAAAAAGTTTAGATTTTTTTTCTTATATCTTATATTTTGAAATTTCTAGAACGACCATAAATTACTAAAAATGGTAAAAATCTCAAATTGAAAGTTTTGTGATCAATAATAACGTTTTTAGTTTAACCAATCGTTTTTTAATAAGCCTAAAACAATTTTAATGATTAACAAAAAGGATCACGTACATAATATAGCGTGTTTTGGTTTAAAAATTGTTGCATACTCAAAATCAATATGAACCATCATCTCTTTCGTTAAAAAATTGTTACAATAAAAAATATAGGGTTGGGGGAAAAATTTGAATCTAAATAACCAAACCAAATCTAATCCAAAAAGTAGTACAAAAATTTAACCAAAATTGGTTAGATATCCAAACATATTCAAAATTTTGGTATCAAGAGAACCAAAACTGAATCAAAATATTTTGGATTTTCGA